AACAGAAAAGAAACGGAGAAAGAGGCATCGTAGCTTAAACAACTTTCACTGACTCCCCTAATTGGCAGCACTGGCGGGGCGATTTTATAACAAGCATCTCGGGAAGCGCCGCTTTCCCAGCAAACGAAAGTCTCTCCCGTGCGCGGAGCAGTGTGGGGCTGCCCCGCGTCCCGCACGCGCAATTTTCACTCCTTTCGGGCCTTTTCTACCTGTCCCCGGGCCGTGCCGGGGAACGAGGGCGGTCGAGGGCGAAGGGCCCGAGCAARAGTGGGTGCCGCTCCTGGCGCTTCCCGCTCCACGCGTTTAGTCCAAGGATCGTGCTAGAGGAGAGCATGAAAATCCCTTTCGCGCCTCGTCAGAGTGCCCCGGGTGCAGCGCTCATATTCTGCACATGGAAAAATAAATAAGTACACAGAGGCGCACAATTAAATTAAACGAAAGTAGATGGCAAGTTAGTTGGCACCAAAAGGTAGCGGCGGGACGGCGACATCCCGCGCTCCCCTCGCGGAACCACCGCAGGGTCCCTGAGCGTAGGAGCCGCGCAGGGAAAAGCTGCTGGCCCTGAGTGCCGACCCACGGGCCCATGGGTCCCGCGGGGCCACTCTGGCCTGGCTGAGTCCGTGGCACTCGTGCAGAAGGGCGGCTCTTGCACGAGGACCACAGGCTGCAAACACCCGCGAGCGGCGCCGCTCGTGTTTTCAGCTCGAAGACTAAAATAAATTCCTGGTATGGGGCAGCCCGAGCGGGTTGTTTTGGTGGGAGCTTCCCGGGATCGTTCCTGCAGCCCGTCCCGGGGCTGATTCCTCCCCGGGCCGGGGCGAGTGTCGCCGCGGGCCGGTGGCCGCGGCCCGGGGACGGCGGGACCCTCGGGCGGCCGAGGACCGCGGGGGCAGCGCGGCCGCCCCGTCGGGCCGGGCCGCCTCGGCGTCCCCAGCTGCCTCACACASGCAGAGCGGGGATTTTTTAAGTAACAAATGTACTTTTTTTAATTTTAGAAACAAAAATATCGTTTTCGGCTTAACAATGGCCGGATCTCACTGAATGAAGCCTTTGCATATTTTCCTGTTTTAATTGGTTGTATAATAAACACTCCTGACCCCGCACTCTCTTTTCAATGAGTTCAGGGTGAAACGCGGACCATGGGACTGGAAATGACTTTTTCACCAYTTAAAACACGGAGCAGAGCGCCGGGAATCCGGCGGCACCGGGAGCCGGGCCGAGGTGCGAGCCCCGTTTACGTAAGGGGGGCCCCGGCTGCTGCCGCGGCCCTCGGGCCCTTCCTGGGCAGCGCTGGCGCCGGGGCAGGTGGGCGCCGCGGGCCGAGGCGGCCCCGGGCGCCGTCGAGCTGCGCGGCCGGGCGCGGGGCCCG